AATTTACGGCATCGAAGAAGGAGCACATTTTTTTGGTTAATTCTGAAATTTCATGTTTGAATACGGAATTCTCTAATTCCACATTCGAACATGGAATTCTATTGTTGAGCAATATATTTTAATAGCGTATTTACATGTTAATCTTAGGGAATTTGGGTAGGGTTGGGTAAATACAGATCCTCTGAATATCCTCCCTCAGATTTACACTTTCGATTGCTTTTAGAAAGGGGGTCGTAAGTAGTACCAAAAGTTTCGCCCTCTTTGATTCCTGTATAACATTTTTCTTTAATTTAATTTACAGGTCACTTTAGTTCTTAGCGTTTTAAATTTTTCCCGCTTCTCTCCCTAGTCCAGAGGATAAGAGAGGGGGCGTTTTCTAAATGGTTTCAAGCAATTAGTTTGTTAATATCTCTAGAAAAAAGTGAGTTAATAAATGTTTTGCCTGTGTCTTTTTAAAAAACTGGAGGTACTATCAAAAACTGGAGGTGCTATTTGAAAAAACTGCTGTCATATTTTGAAAAATTATGACGTCTTAAAAATATACTTATATTAAAATATCCGTACTTTAAAAACAAATTCCACTTATGAATAGAAATGTAGGACAAATAATATGTCCGTCGTATATGGGAATCAAAGGTCGAACACTTTGGTGTCAATCCTTTTTTATCTCCGCTGCCCCCCGGACTCCAAGAGTATCTTAAAATTTTAGTTAAGATAAAATTGTTCAAGTATTTGAGATAAAAATATAAGGATTTTCAAAGGATCCGTATTTACGGTTCCCTCCCTGAATTTCTCAAGTCTCCCAAGAGTAACCTGTAAATATGCCATGAAAATTTATAGCTCGAAAATACCTTGTTTGAACACGGAATTATAGATTTCTGTGTTTGAATACGGAATTCCGTGTTTGGAAAAAATATCATTAACACAAGACAATTATTAATGAAAGTTTAGTGTGAATTCATTAAATTAGTTTTTGTTTCTCCAGAATAATTCCCATTTTTTTCAAATAACCGATTCATATATTTTCTTGACCATTTACTGGTTTTATTCTGACAGTAACTGAAACGGACTGGTCATTTGAATGTCTTTTTTATAAATAAAATTAAATAGTAATTAAGTAACTAAAATAAATGAATCGGTGAGTTCGAAAACCGTACATGTCCAAAATCAGCCTTCCAAGAAAAACCATAAAAACCTTTTAACGAGTTACGAATATGTACGGGTTTTCGCCTAATTTCTCGAATGTAATCAGCTGTACTACGTTAACGGATAGGTATCTAGTATGGTTTTTAAGCTTAATCGATGAAGAGACAAATTTTTAACAAAATGGCTATCTTACTTTAAAATGTCAAATTTTGGACTTGTACGGATTTCGAACTCTCCGATTCAAATTGTTTCTACAACAAAGAGCTAAAACTGCTAAGATTTTATCGAAATAAAATTATCTAACTGTAACAAAGTAAAAAATTAATTTTTAATGTAGGTAATATCAAACTTCATAATAGCCTTAAGAGCGTTATCCATGTACTAAAATTGACTAATTCAAAGTTTTCAGGCCTATTTTTTATGAAATTTGGCATGCATATTTATGAAGTCGTGCACAATGGGGTTACGGAGTCCAAATTTTGTAAACCTGGAATTACTAAAAATCAAAAAAATGTATTTAGATTTACCCGAGATAATAACCACTTAGCAACGTCGCAATGATATTGACCATGTCTCCAGGATCGTCTTGCCGTTTAATTAACCTCTAACCAGACAGGTTAAAATTTCGTAACGCTGCTGCAGATTTGACGTTTCTGAGACACTTACTTGCATATTATGTAAAAACTACTTAAACATATTTTTTTTAGTTCTTTATTATAAACGCTTTTATTGATCAATTGACCTTAATAATTATGTATAGATATTTATTAAATTGAAACATAATGTGATAAAATATTTTATTAAAAATTTATACAAAAAATATACCTACAGGAAAAATTCAAAAACATTCACTTTAAAGACATATAAGTCTAAAAAAATATTTTGGTAAAAGGCATTTCACAAGGATGAACAAGCGAATAAAAACTAGTTAAAACTGCAAATTATGCCCAGATCGACATGTGGAGGGGAAATATTGAATACCTACATCTCACAAACACATTAATTTTACATTTCTATTAGCTCATATACAAATAGATAGTATTTTCATATACAAGAGAGTGACAGAGTTTAAAAAAAATTGTGTTATTGTTGTTGGTGATAGTGTGTTTAATACGAGGTTTAATAATATAATATGGGAAATAGAAAATACAGTTTTCCTTCTAAACAAAAATCTGTAAAAAATCGTACAAGAACTCTTAGATTTAGAAGCTTACTGTCATCCGATAATCTAAAAGTGTAAGTATCCTTACTGTTGAATTTACCGAATTAGACAAGATACTCTAAACGACGATTAAAGGATATCCACAACAGATCCACATGGCCCACAGTCCTTATTAAATCTAATATAGCATTAAATTATAATAATATAATATTTATTCATGTTTATTAATTTTTATAAATTTTTATTAATTCGTATAATTTTTATTAATTTAATTTTTAATCTTTATTAATTTTTAATAATTTTTATTAATTTTTAACAATTTTTATTAATTTTTATAAATTTTTATTAATTTTTATAAATTTTTATAAATTTTTATAAATTTTTATAAATTTTTATTAATTTTTATTAATTTTTATTAATTTTTATTAATTTTTATTAATTTTTATTAATTTTTATTAATTTTTATTAATTCTTATTACTTTTTATTAATTTTTATTAATTTTTATTAATTTTTATTAATTTTTATTAATTTTTATTAATTTTTATTAATTTTTATTAATTTTTATTAATTTTTATTAATTTTTATTAATTTTTATTAATTTTTATTAATTTTTATTAACTTGTATAACTAACTGAAGGTCAAAAAAAATGCCTTACCAGATGAAGAATATGGTCTTCTTGACCATGAGAATATAATACCCGAATTAAATGATGAGGAATATCAAAATAAAAAAATAAATATTTTTAAAAGAATAACAAAAAACTTATCTGGAAATAGAATTGATTGAAAAAGATACTAGAAGACAAGGAGAAAATCCTACATTGAAACAAGCTGGAAGTGTACGCATAACTGCTTCTAATTTTGGCACTATTTGTAAAATGTGGCTAAAAACAAATTGTAAAAAATTTATAAACATTTGCTTTATTTCACGCACATGGGAAATAAACATACAAGATATGGCTTAGAAAAAAAAAACCAATAGCACTAAGTCAATTTTCAGAAAAATTATTATGCATGACAAATATTGTGGTTTTGTTTGTCGACCTGGATTTATGTTATTTAGGAGGTAGTCCTGATACCTCGTTCTGGTAGGAACTGATTGTATAATTGAAATTAAATGCCCTGCTTTTGCTTCAAAGTTAACATCACAAGATGCAATGAGGCAAAAAATTTTAAAGTATGTAATAATTGACGACAATAATAATATACATTTGAAACAAAATCACAACTATTTCTACCAGTGCCAGGGCCAGTTTCACATAACAAAAGGGCAATGTTGTTTTTTCGTGGTGTGGACCCCTCTGGGCTTTGTAATGGACTAAATTGAATGTGATGATAATTTCTGCAAAGTAAACTCTCCAGTGTTTTTACATGAATTGTGTTCTGCCAGAAATAATCGACCCTCATTTTATAAGGGGGTTAGAAATACAAAACCCTCCTCAAAACGATGCTTCAATATTAAGTAATATGGATTGTAATAAATGTTTTTTATAAAAAATTGTTTTTTTATGTAGCAATACAATGTGAGCCAGTAAGGTCCTGTTAAAAAAATGTGTTTACTAAATATCCTTTATCTGAAGACAATCTCTTACATACCAGTGATTCTCTACATATAATCTACAATTATTGATTTTGTTTGACTTTAAATCAACATATGTTTGTATTATTTTTGAAATAACTAAATCTATATAGGTATTTTATTGTTTTTAGTGCATGCTATTATTTTATACTTTCTGCGGTCATGTTTTTACTTTATCATAAAAAAAATGAAGCCAATAGCTCAATTAGTTCAATCTACGGTGATGTAAATAATAGTAATATTTAATAATTGCTTATTTTTTGTTGTAAAAAATGTCTGACCTATATAGGGACTGAAAAATGTCGTGAGTGGCCATTTCATATACTACTTATTTATTATCCATAATACCTATAAGGTCTGATTTGGTTCTGTGCCAATATTTAACATCTCTAGCCATAAGCGACTTTTGTACTAAATTTTGCTCTACTAAAAATTAAAATGTGCACCTGAATCCAACTTGAATATCTCTCAGAGAAACAATCATTTGGACTGAAAGGCACTGTGTCATATATTATGTAGCAGATTTGAAATCTGAGTTAGGAGCGTACTGGATAACACTCTTAACTGGACTTTCACTGGGTAAGTCACTAACTATCATCAATAGTTTATTTTAATATTATAGCAATATCTTCAATAATTTTCAAGAAATATAAGTTACCTTGGTTTTCTTGTATTTGACTGTCCCTTATAATGTGCATGTCCACACCACTGCCCTGAAGTCTAGAATTTGAATTTCACACATGCCAACTTGCCAAATCTCTACTTTCATTTTAGCCTGCTATTTGTAAAGTAGCAGTTTGTTATTGCAGTATGTATTTTCTCAGGCTATTTTTAATTTTATAATTATTATTAAATTGTATTTAATAATAATTATAAAAATAACCTAAGAAAATACAAGACATTAATAAACTGGTAAAAAGAAGTGGAAATTTGGCAAGGTGGCATGTGCCAAATTGAATTTCTAGATGTTCAGAGAAGAGTGGCGTGTACATGTGCATTACAAGGGACCTTCAACTACAAGCTTACCTTTATCTTAATCTACTTACTGTATGACACCATTTAAATTAAAAAATTCTGGAGATATACAATTTTATAAATAAACAAATAATTACCCTCCTAATGTATTCAAACAGATCCTCTGTTTGCACCTCTCTCTATTCTTTGAAGAGCCATGTCTGTTTTTTCTTGTACAAACATCACATCGACCACAATCTTCAGTTCTGTAACAAGCCATACATTCTCCACATTTTTTTACTTTCTTGTCAGTTTTATTTTCGGCACGATCCTTGCGTTTTCTAGATTTTCGTTCTTCTTGAACCCCAAATAAAGACTCTTCATGTTCTTTTTTCGTTTTCCAACGTGTTACTAAAGTAGGGTCTTCATCTTTACATCTAATGCAGTAATACTGTTTTATAAGTTTTGCTTCTTTCTCGGAAATTTTTATACAATCTCCATGGTACCTGAAATCATTTTACTTATAATTTCTTTGGCATGTGGTAATAAGGGAGAAAATGCCAATGAAGTGTTGAGGTAGATTTAAAGAAAAAACTGGTTTATTTATTTACCACTCTTCACAGGCATCGCAGGCTATCATAAACCTAGATGAATCTGAAGATCTGCAAATACAGTAAGCTTGACCATCTTGTTTTAAAAGTGTATCAATTTTAGATTGCCTCTCTGGTAAAAGGAACTGTTTCGCGATTTCTTCTCTCTAAAATAACATCAAGATTAATTCAATGTTCAATGGATTAATCGCCCAGATACAAGAAGACTTACTGATATATCTCTTTTACGAGACATTCTTTTTAGTTTTAAGATTTTTTGATCAATGTTTTTTCAGTAATTTTACTAATTTTTAAACTTTACAAACAATAATGACAGTGTCATTTTCCAAATGACAGTTGACGTGACAACCTTACATATATTTCTTCTTTTTCTTGTATATTTTATCAAGCCTCCACCTAGGTTCGTATTTACTGACAGAACTCAGCTGAGTCGGACTTGGGTAAGCTTTATAAACAGAACTAAAGCCCATATTTATAAACAGAACTAAGTATAATTTATAACCACCTTAACGTAACTTAACTTAACGCTGTAGAAACTAAGGGGCCTATTCAGTAACTCTGAACGACGTCGTTAATAGACGATAATCGTTCACAGACGACTTTTCTTATTCAGTAGATAACGATTGTCGTTGAAAATAGACAAAAAATATGGTTGTAAAATTGTCGTTCATCAACGATAGCCACAGAGCTGTCGTTAATAATATGAAGTGTCGTTATAGAGATTTTTGCATTCCCTCTCATTTTTGAGTTGTCGAAGCCGATGACATCAACATAATCAGGAAAAAGGATTGATAATATCAAATTTGGTTTGTCTTTCAAATCCAATAAATACAACTTGTACTGTTCTCGAGTTGTTTTTTTTGTATTCTTTTGAAATAGTTCTCATTTTTTTTTTTTATTATTATATACCTACTCATTTAAATAAACCCTACATACAATACGACCAGCAAAAATGGCTGGTCACTGGTTGACCAGTGAATAGTTTAATAGTTGTATGCGACGAATAATTTGGAATTGAATTGTTCCACTGGTTCTCGGATGATTTGCATCGAGTTTTAAAGAAACCCGAACAAACCTAATATATTCTGAAAAACAAATGAATATATCTACTGGTAGAATTTTTATTTTACGTTCCAAAAAAATGTCAAATATACCGGGTGTTCAAATTAAAGTGTTACAGTTAAATACCGCCTTTTATAAATAAACGAAAGTTTTATAGTTTTTTGGGGAAAACAATTTGGCTAAAATCGTTTTTTTATAGCTAACCCAACTTTTTTTTCGCGCAGCAAAATTTTCAAGTAGGTGTTACTCAATAAGTAGAAGTCCAATAAAAAAATGTTTCCCTTAGAAGTTTCTTATTTTTTTATGAACTCTAAGAACACCTATGTAAAAAAAAGGGTTCCAATTTGAAAAAAAAATCCACCTCGATATGGCCATATTATGGTCAGCTATAAAAAAATTAATTTAGCCAAAATGTTTCCCCTAAAAAACTATAAAACTTTTATCTGATACTTTTTTTATAAAATGCATATTTTCGGCGATATTTAACTTAACATTTTAATTTAAACACCCGGTATAATCATCAACATACGTTCTTTTATCACAAAACACTAAATTATAATACCAACTTACTAGAAATCATCGTTCAGATTTGGTAACTAGAAACAACGTAACGACTTTGTTATTGAATAGAGTTTCAAAAATTATCGTTATAAAAGTCGTTGGTTGAACTGTCGTTAGCTTAACGATGTCGTCTATAAACGATAAATTACTGAATAGGGCCCTTAACCTAACATATAAAAATAAAGTATATTTATAAACGTCCGTAACGTAAGAGTTGAGCATGCGTGTTGATTTCAGAGATTATTAAATTACTGACAACCTTATGAAATAAACAAGTGTAAACTATGTACCTAACCTCTAAATAAAACTTATAAATTATAATTTTGCTATATAGAAAGAATATTTTAACTACTTTAAAAGCAATAATATAAAAATATAATAAAACAATAGTTTACCGAAGATGTTGATTGTTTTTGAGCAATAATGAGAATTTAATCTTTCCTAGCAAACTAGTTTTGTGTCTTATTTCAGTTCTAGACTTGATATTTATAGGTATATGCATCAACACTCATATCTCATAAATAGTTTATTCCACTGATCTGTATTATTTTACTGGATAGGATATAGCCCCCTAAAAAACGTTCCGAAAAATTGGCCGATTTGGGCAAATAATATGGCGGACCGGATGTTATTTAACATAACCTCTATTTCCATTTGTCATCACATTTGTCATTTAATTGTGTCAACAAATTACGATGAGATGTTTTTTTTATTTATTTAGGTAGTATCGGATAGCATTATTATGATATAAACACAATTTGCTTTACGTTTCCATTTTTATATTTTCTTTCATAAAAAAATCAAATTATGGTTGATTTGTCCCGATGGACATTGCTCGCAGAAGGAATAGAAAATAGAAGAAGAATAAGAAGAAAAACTAATCAAATTATAGGTTAGATATGTCAAATTATCCCAAAATTCAGTTCTGTGATCTCACCATAATTTGCCCAAATCGGCCAGCAGTGTTGCACTTCCGGTCTCCTTGGTGGAACGAATTTTTAGTATGTTAAATATAGCTTATATCCTATCCAGTAAAATAATACAGATCAGTGGTTTATTCCCAATAACATAAACACAAATCATTCATGATAATGTATGTCCATCAAAAAGGAGAATGATAGTTTACAAATGGTATTTGTCTAATCATTTATAAAAAAAAAATAAAAAGAATAATTGACAGTTATCACATGCTGAACTCAGAATTATCTCATTGGCTAACCGTAAGGTCTTAAGTTAAGTTAAGTTGTTAAGTTAAAAGTTGGCGAACTTTCTACGGTACGTTAAGTTCTTAAGTTACGTTACGAACAGTATAAATAAGTATACGTAAATTCAATATTTCAACTTCTTACGTTAAGTTCTTAAGTTACGTTACGGCGGTTATAAATTAAGCTTTAGGCCCGTATTTATAAACAAAACTCAGCTGAGTCGGACTTGGGTAAGTCGTCCTTGAACGAAAATCGAAGTTCGGTTATATCACGTGAATTTAGAGATGGGCAGTAACAAATCCGTAAATGTACAATACAATTCCGGAAGCATATAATCAGGTCTATTAATTTTGAAATTTCTAAAAAAAGGTCCTCGGCTTGTAGTTTTCGTAACAGGGGGTAAAAAAAAGTCTTCACCCAGCTACCACAAAATCATCCCATCTATGTTAATAAGCTGCAATTTTAGGCTCTTTAAGCTCGCATGCGAAATGAAAAAATATGCTCAAGTTTAAATCATTACACTTATTTTTAGATAATTTTGTCTTACTTTGTTGTTTTGAATAAAACAACCAAAGTTGGTGTATTGAAATTACTAAGGCCCTTCCTATGGGGCCTCAGAATTGCATTCGTGCAGACGAAAAAATTTTCTGACCCCTATTTTTTAAAACTTTTTTTTTAAGTTTCTGATCATTCTGAATCCGAAAATCAAAAAAAAAAATTTTCGTCTGGTCGTCTGTATGTATGTATGCCGGCACGATAACTCTAGAACGAAAGTTCTGATTGACTTGCGGTTTTGATTTTCTTGAATAATTACTTCTAACTTAGAACCCTATTGATTTTAAGAATTTTCGGTTCATCCTTACTACTTTAATAACAATTTTCTTAAAATCCGCCTATGCATTCCTTAGGTGACAATTTTAGGAATTCCAATTATTTCTAAAATCAAAATTCCTAACATTCTTCACATTTCATAAATTGCAAACATTCTCTAACGACCTGTCAAACAACAGCTGTTGATAGTAAAGGTGAAATTTCTAAGGCGGGTTGCGACCTTCATACTTGCAACCATATAGCCATTTTGGAGGCTATTTTCATTGGAAATTAGTCGCCAAGCCTGCCAATTTAAGAAAAATATATAAGCAGTTTCTTAAAAATGACTTTTTATGGTGGTGCTATTAAGCATACTACTATTTCGCCCCTAGCCACAAAAACACCTTCATCAAATTTACTGGTTCTTTGTCGCAACCCCATAGAATAATTAACCGGCCATTTTATTTGACAAAAATCAAAATAATGCTTGGCTGTGCCTGTCAAGTATCAAGATGTCAACTGTGATATGTGAATGGCTCTTAAATGTCAAATTATTTAAAAATGTATACTTCTTTTGATATTTATTGCAAATAATAAATATCTCAATTCAAGCTTTCCATAAATAAAGGTACAGCAAGACAGATAATATAATGTTCTTATACAAAGCACTTTTTTATTATATAAAAGAGAGGTAGGATATAATGCCCATTTCAAATTTGGATCATTTATGATACCGAGGTATTTTGTTGTGTTTTTCATTTTAATTATAAAGTTGTCGTCATTTATTTGTATGTTGAAAGAAGGCCTTTGTAAATTACATTGCTCTCTATGGATCTACTTTAACACAAAAATAGTTTTGTGGCTATAAGTTGCTATAACCTATCTTCGCAAAACTAATAATAATTTAAACATAGTAAGTATGGTATTAATATAACATCAAGTAATTTTTTAAAATAAAGTACATGATCTTAAAATACATAATCTATAATAAATGCGGATAAAACGAGGGGTAAAATAACAATAAATTAAGGGAAATACTTAAAAAGGGCAGGTCTAAAGAGTATTATCTCAAGAAAGTATATCCTTTCTGTTTATTTATCAAGTATTGTTTGAGATTACTTTTGAATACATTTATTGTTTTTTTTTTTAATTTCTGTAGCAGAGTCTATTAAATTTTTTAAACCTTTAATAAAAATTGTATTTTGGGAACTTTTAGTGACGGCTTGCCGTACATGAAAGTCAGATTGGTTTCTTGTATTATAGTTGTGATATTGCGAATTATATTGAATTTTTTCTAATAGATCTGATGCGATGGTACTATGTCATTTATATTTTATAAATTAATACCAGTCATGTACTGAACATAATTCTGAACTGAAAGCCAATTTATTTCTTTTAACATAGCTGCAATACTCATCCTTTTGTCCTTTATTAATAGAATATAAATAGGCGAAGTAAGAAGCCCAAATATTTTACATGAGCAGGCTTAAGAGGTAAAGGGGCCAATTATTATTGGATAAATTGCTCGAACAAGTTTTTAAACCCTAATCAAAAGGCGATATAGAATGGTTTTAAAAATCAAGGCTTGTGAAAATCATCACATGGTTTAACCTAAGTAATGCCAGTGCTTCACATACCAAAAAATTCAACGTGTTAATACTACTATCGGCTTTCGGTATTTCGTTCCAAGTTAAATCATTCCTCGTTTTTG